GCAGGATCTAGGTGCTCAGGTGGGGAAATTCCAGCTTGCCATACTTCAAGCGGAAAAAAGCCCTAGAAAAGGGACTGGAAAACTGCTCTCATTGGTTTTGTGACTTTGAACAGGACAAATTCTCTCCTGCACCCTGTATGACCGGCCATGTTACACGGCTCAACAGCAACTGGAGCCTATCGAAATTTTGCGTTTCTTTTTATAAGATGCTCTTAAATTTTCCCCAGTCTGCTGCTAACTACAAGTTACACCGAATATTTGAGGGACAGACTGCTTATGCACTTTAAGCCTTCCCACTGCAGATTCTGGCAGCTATCAAGGAGACATCCGGTATCAAAATTTCTTCTGAAATGCTGAGGAACGCTCTGAAAAGCAATAGATGAAGATTCCCAAGTCTCTTTCTCTCTGTAAAGTCTTAAAAGTCAAAATGAACATTGTGGATATCCAAGGAATTTGTGCAAATAAACAATACAAAAAGTGCCTGTGAAAATCAGTTCTCTAGTGGACAATCCTCTTATCCATTGTTTGAATGTGTAAGGAAAACACAGCTAAGAGGGAGATGACATACCATCCAGAACATCTGCTAACATCTCACAGCAAAGAATTAGCAAATCTTTAAGCAACTTCAGTTGCTATAGAAACTATTTCTCCAACACCAGTCTTATTATGTATTTGTATCACTGAGGAAGTATCATTACCGACTTGCTTAATAAAATCAGTGATCTCAGCCAGCATTAATGTATGTGTAATCAGCTCTCCAAAGAGCATAAGGGTAGGTGGGCGGGTTTCCCTGACTACAGAGTCAAATTTGCAAGAGTATTAACCTGAACACTTTTTTTTTCTCTTTCGAGCACAGAATTCTTTCCCCACTTCACATTCTTGGTCTGCAGTGTGAGACAGTGCACAGTTCCTTCTATTTTTGTCTTTGGTCATTTTTCATTAAGCAAAGCACAAGGAAGGTATGGTGGCCCATAAACACTTCATTTCTCTTCCTGCCCCTTGGTGTGTCAGGACAGTGCTGGAATGCAAACTCTTTACACTGAGCTATTTTTTGGAAAATTGTTTTGTTTTTCTCTGCAATATGTCCACTGAGCATTTTAAAGTATAAACCGTATTTTTGAGCCTACGTTAACCTTTGCATAATGTGAGAACTAAAGTTTTCATTAATAAAGACCACAATCAGTGGGCAAGACCCTAAGACTGGATACTTTAAATGAAAGAACCAAATATTTCAGACTCACAGTTATAGATGGTGTCGTGGTTTAACCTGGCAGGCAGCCAAACCCCATGCAGCCTCTCGCTCACCCCCCGCCCCCCAGTGGGATGGGGAGAGAATCGGCACCCCCCCCCAGTGGGATGGGGAGAGAATCGGAAGGGTAAGAGTGAAAAAAACTCGTGGGTTGAGATAAAGACAGTTTAATAAAACAGAAAAGGGAGAATAATAATGATAATGATAGAACATACAAAATGAGTGATGCACAATGCAATTGCTCACCACCCGCGTTGACCGATAACCAAGTAGTGATCGGTACTTCCTGGATCACGCCTACCATTCATATACTGAGCATGATGTCACATGGTATGGAATACCCCGTTGGCCAGCTGGGCTGCCTGTCCTGATTATGTTCCCTCCCATCTTTGTGCACCTAGCTCAGTCGGTAGGGCATGGGAGCTGTCCTTGGACTAGGAAGGCGCTTAGCAACAACTGAAAACATCAGTGTGTAATCAACATTCTTCTCCTACTAAATCTAAAACACAGCACTAGGAAGAAATTTAACCCTATCCCAGCTGAAACAGGACAGATGGGAATCTCGGGATGATGATCCTAGTCTTCAAGGACTACCCACCTTACTGGTGTTTTGAGACAACTTTAAAGAACTTGTGCTGCTCAAAGCTACTGCAATTAAACACCAATTAGGCAGCTGACTTACTGAGCCATCTTAGAAATCCACCAGTTAATGCTTATTGCTCTTTCCTAACAATACTTTGGTGGCTGTGTGCAATGCTCCATCTTAGGATGACCTGATCAGCCTAAGGATAAAGTTAGCAAGGAGTATGAACAAAGTAACT